TGCAGCATCCTAAACCAAGTGCAGAACACCAGCAACCTCTCTTCACTAATAGCTTTATAGGTTCAAGCAGCCAGCTGCCTCGTGCTGACTCCAGGAGACTGGAGATGCAGTGGAATCCACAACTAACACCGGCTCACGCTACACTGCAGGAAGGGAAACAAGTGGTTCAAAATGTTGCCTCCCAAAACGTCAGCGCATCCAGGAATGTGAAGCTACACACTTTTAGGAACTCATCTGCAAAGAGGTTTGGCTGCATGCAGTGTGGCAAGGGTTTCAGATGCTTCAGCCAGCTTGAAATTCACCAGCGAAGTCACACAGGCGAGAAGCCATTCCGGTGCACGCTGTGCGGAAAGCGATATGCCCAGAAAGGCCACCTGTACACACACCAGCGCACACACACCGGGGAAAAGCCCTATCGATGCACTATTTGTGGAAAGGGTTTTATTCAGAAGTGCACCCTGGATATGCATCAGCGCACACACACAGGTGAAAAACCCTTTGTTTGTGTCAGCTGTGGCAAGGGTTTCACAAAGAAGTGTAATCTGAAGAAACATCTGACTCTGCATCTAGATCCTAGCCTAAACGTCTATGGAGGCGAGTCGTTTAGTGAAACAATTATACACGGAACCACATAAAATGACAATGGCTAACATTTATTTCTTTTCTTCATTCTGATTTAAACAGCTACTGGAAAATAAAGTTTACTTTGCTTAAGATATGAATGTGTGTCTAACAGTGCATATTTTGAACACATCACTGAAAGGTTTTCTGTGCAGATATCAGAAACTGATGTTTCAACAAGCAAATATATTTTTTTAATAGTCTGGTAAAAGCCAGTTCCTCCTGAGAACTTACAAATGCATTCATCTGATACATTGTGAAATCAACTAGCATAGGAGAAAGTGCTTCAGATATATAGAAAACACTCCAGGTACTATTAAGTCGCTATTAAAGCAGCTGAACTAGCAGATGGACAGTAGCATTAATGGTTATCAACAGATCATTAAAATTTGTTTGGCTGAAAACACATTAAAGGTTTGAAGGCTTAGGGAATTTTGTTTACTTAATATTTATCATACATTTTATTTCATAGTTTTAGTGTGCTATAATAGATTAAATAGATCAAGCATTACCTCATAAAAGGTGAGTTTATTATTAGCCTATCATCCCTGTGGGTCATTGTGCACTCTGTACAGATGCACCTCAATAAATTAGAACATAAATGAGTTGTTTTATTTTTGTTATTCAGCTTAAAAAAAAGGAAAGTCATACATAACTTAGATTTAATACAAACAGCATTTCAAGCTTTTAGTTTGCTTTTCGGTTGAACTTAATATGTCACACTAAAGGTGGAAAACGTTTTTAAATGATCATTCATTGCCTTTTTTTTGTATCTCAAAAACATGGTTGGACAGTCACTGTATACTTGCACATCTGAAAATCACTCATTTGGCTATTACAAATAATCACCACTAGATGGCAACAACTTCAAATAATGTCTAGTTTTAAGTCTGAGTAAAGATCTAGTAACATATATCATACATTTTATATTATTCCCCCCTCTTCTTTTAGAAATATTTTTGCAATAGCTCAACACTGATTATATATGTTTAAATTTTATTAATAAAGAAGCTTTATATAGCTTTTATTGTGCGTAGGTAAATAAGTAATTGAAAAAAACGTGTGAAGGTGTGAAACAGGAGAAGTTCCGACTGTATTTGAAAGATAACGACAAATAATGTAATATGTGCTGATTTTGCAACCGCGACCTTTACAGAACAAATATATTTTTTATGAATTAATCATACATTAAAGTTTTTTTTTATTCAATTATGTTTTGAGAGATGTTTTACAATACTTGTCTTCTCTGTCCTATGACATTTTCTATCCATATATTTTCAGCAAAAGCCCTATAAATAGAGTTTAGGCAAGGAACACACGCTGTTGCCTTAACATACAGTATACATTGTGGTGCTTTCGCCTATAGATTTCCCATAATCCTTTGCGGTACAGCTGTATCACATATTTGATTATAGGAGCAACGCTACTTCGTGGGGGTAATCTTGCCGAAATTAGAAATACTCAGCTACTTTGGCGAGATGATGTGCGACAGCGCTAACAGGAGTTTTCGGACACAGCTGGCCGTCATCCTGGACAGGCTAACAAAGGCGGCTTTGGCTGAGATCAGCAGCCTGGCTGACGAATGCTCCTCCGTCCTTCACACTGAGATATCTCTGCATAAGACGGAGAACGAGGCGCTGAAGAAGAGGTGCTACTCTCTGGAGGTCCAGCTGAGAGCAGCCAGAGAGGGACATGCCTACCCTGCACATGTCAACACCAGCGTCAGACAACTTTCAGGTCAGAAGCTTGAATCAAGCCTGACACTCAGGGTTTTATCCCCCCCCCCTCTTTTTTTTTTTTTTTTTTTTGCTGCATAGTGCACCCTATAGGCTTGTATTCTGGTTAATATTATTGTTACTTGGAGTTATTGTTTGCTCTCTGCCTGTCTTTGTATAACTGCATGTATAGAAAGGTGACAATCTGCATCAAATTTCAGTATGAGCTCTATTTTTTTTTCCTTCTAGATCAGCACCAGTCTTCTCCAGCCATCGAAGGAGTATTTGGGAAGGATTGGTGCATGGATCTGTGGAGAGAAGAGAAGCTTCACCCTCAGAGAAGACTGCCAATGGAGGCTGCTATGACAAACATAGGAGCAGAGGTCAGCTGTGTGTCTTATTTTTGCAATTCAGTCATATGATGGACTGAATAATGAGGGATGTATTTTTAGCTGCTTCTTGTATGCTGTTGGTAGGCAGCTGACATGATGGGGAGAGAACCGGATCTTATTTTTGTCAAAGAAGAGATGTATGACGATCACCCTATTGGTCAACAGATGAGTCGTGCTGACACCAGGAAAAGTAAGAGCGGAGAGAAATCAAACAAAACAGATTAACTGCCTACAATTTAACTGGATGCATTTTCATTCTACAGTTGTTGGGATGTTTGAAGATGACAGCATGCTTCACAGATCCGTCGATGAACTGCAGCTTCACTCAGGGGAGATGAATAATTTCCCCATGATGTCGGACGGACAAATGCTACAGCGGGCACAGCCGACCATCGCGGACAGATTAATAGAGGACGCAGCGTTGGGCAGTCTTGTGGAAAACACAAATCCTCCTCCAGCCTCGGTGGAACCCTCAGATTACACGAACTGTCTCCAAACAAACACAACCAAAGAACTCCCCTTTCAGCCCAAACTTGTTAAGGCACCAAAGCGCTTTGACTGTTTATTCTGTGGAAAAATCTTTAACTATTTAAGCAGCTTAAAAGTGCACATCAGACGGCACTCGGGCGAAAAGCCTTTCAGCTGCTCTGTGTGCGGAAAACGGTTTGCTCAGAAAACGTACCTGAAGCTGCACCAGCGAGTGCACTCTGGTGAAAAGCCTTACAGTTGTCCAGACTGTGGCAAAAGTTTCTCCCAGAAAAGCTCCTTAAACATACACCTTCGAACGCACACGGGTGAAAAGCCTTATAGCTGCGTGGGATGTGGCAAATGCTACGCGTATAAATATGGTTTAAATCACCATCAGTGTTTCAACTGGATGGTCAAACCAGAGGTATTTGACACAGGTCCTCTCAGCACTGCTCAGAGTGACTCAACATGCGGCAGTATATCTTTACTAACATCCAACATGGAGGAAAAATACTGATTTGGAGTAAAGAGAGGCGGATTGTGTTATCTATTGTTACCTGTGCTACTGTTTGTCATATTTTTTAGCTAGAGTGGAGAGACTAACGTAGCAGTGGTTAAATAATAGTTGAGCTTATAGGTCCATTATAATAGATTATTTATTCTCACAGGTCTGAGTTTGACTCATCAGTCAGCAAGAAATGAAAAGATCTTGCCTTCATTGCATTGTTGCATGTGTTTGTTCCTAATATATCAGGCCACAGAAGGACTGTCCCAAGAAATACCAAATTACTGACTCTGGGGAAATGGTCCTGGCCGACCTTTAAAACTACCTCCTTGGAACAAAAAGGTGAAACAAGCTTGTTCCTTTGACCAGCTTTTTATTTGTTCGACGCCATTTTTAATTCTTTGGCACTGAAATGAAACCGAAGTCATTTTTCCTGAAATATAACTAAAATTCAATTGTTTATCTCTTGGTCATATATTTAAATAAGCTCCGCAGGCTGTTATTGATATTGTGTTTGAAAAGTTACTTTTTATGGTTCCACCGTGATTTATGAATTGAAGAGAAATTGTCAACATTCTGTAAATCTGATTTCATGTAGTCTTATTTCATTCTTATGCCTAATAGAAATTGCTTTCTTTGAATGTAAGGCTTGCCTGAGCTGATTCTGTTCCAGAGATGGCTCTAGCAGCATCGATTTTACTAGCATATAACTGACATTGAGGTTTATGAAATAAAACAAATGAACACATTTGTACATATGACTTTGTTTTAATAGAGAAAAAAAACATGAAAAATGTCAAATAAATTACAAAAACATTTGTTTTCAACACTCCAACCACAATACTAAAGACAAAACATTACCATCAAGACATTAACATTTAAACTAGTGTAAAAAGTCACATGATGCATTTCACTAATGTAGCTTATAAGACATTATAACCAGGTAGTGACAAGTTTCTGTTAAGGGTGCACAGATTGCAATTTTCTGGCCGATCGTCGATTACTGATCTTTAAAAAAACCTGACATGCCGATACGGATTTTCTTTTGATTTGGCAACAGTGAGGTGACTACTGTTAACTGTAAATGTTCAGACATGACCTGATGGACCGGCCTATCAGTTAAACGTCTCAACGAAGAGCAAAAGAGGACAGTGGTTGATTTTTGGACCCTTGCCGAGGTAGATGAGTAGATAAGATCGGCTTCACATGTAAGTATCGGATGATCACCAATCTCCCAAAATTGAGGAAATCGGAGCAAATGTATCGTCCGATCAACTTATCAGTGCACCCCTAGTTTCCGCTGCTACATGTTGCTAGGTTTAGGCTGTTTCTGACTCACTGACCCTCCTCCAACAACCTCACGATTTATGTGTGCCATTAGATGATGACTGAGGTTCACCTTCTGCGTGAAGGTCTTTCCACACTTAACACACAGGAAAGGTCTCTCGCCAGTATGGATGCGTAGATGACATTTTAAATTGCCTTTCTGAGTAAACCTTTTGCCGCACAGGCTGCACCTGTAGGGTTTCTCACCTGTATGGACAACATAGTGAATCCTCAGAGCTGATTGGTTGGCAAAGATCTTGCCGCACAACTCGCACGACTTGCTACTTCTCTGATGTGAAATAGGCGGCACACATCTGTGTGAGTTCAGCTTTTTTTGAGGGAAATGTTGCTTGCAGATGCTGCAGAAGTTTGTCTTATGTGACTTCATGTGGTGTGTCAGTGTGCCCTTGTGAAAGAACGTCCTGCTACATACATGACATGTGAACGTGTTGCTTTTTGGAGCTCTGGTCGTTTTCACACTGACCACATTCAAGTTGTTGGGGAAGTCTTTAACATTAGGGAAACGGCTGTCAGTGCTGTTTGTCGGTAATGTCTGCTGTTTGTCGTGACTGGGCCCGACTGCAGGGCTCGATTCTGCTTCATTGTGACTTGCTTGGACAAACTGAACATCATCATCCTCCTCCTCCTCCTCATCTTCATCATCGTCGTCCTCCACTTCAATTGGTACGATATGGGCGCTAAAGTCCTCTTCTGTTGTATCATTGATACTGATAAACTGCACAAGTGCTTCTTCGGTACTTTCTAATAACGAATCCTCCTGTCCGACAAGTGGCAAGCTGCAAGTACTGCCATCGACAGAGTAATCCACTGACTTCTGGTCCGATTCCTCAGCCATGCTTTCTTCCTGTGCTGATGTACAAAGGCAGCAATTTAAACTCAGAAAGGAGGAAAAACATTGCTCTATTTACCCATTCCGTTCCAATTCTTCACATATTTCTTACCTTCATTGGAAATTGCTTTTTCATCTGAGTTAGTGGCAGCATTTGGCATCATCTCCTCTTTTTTGATCTCGGCAAGTGTGACTTGGTCCGATTGAGCTGCTGTAGGCTGTTAAACACAAAGTCTTGTTTTAATCTCAAGTTCAAAGGACCACATTTTCAAAAATTGTGGATTACCAGCTGTAATTTGAAATGGAAAGGTTGTTTAACTTCAGTTATTAGAGTCGAATTAGTTATTTGATCAAGAGTCATACAAAATAAAGACATAAACCTAGCAAAATGCAGAAAAAGTAAACTTACAGTAAAACATGTCAATGAAGTAAAAACTGATCAGTTCACCATACTTTACAAAAAGAGTTTTATTGACATTACTAATTCTCTTGATCCTTTTACAGAAAACAGCCAACATATTCAACTGAAGATGAGTAATTTTTTTTTTAATTGAACAAATAGCCTTCAAGATATTATTGCCTCTACCTACGTTTCAAAAAAAAAAAAAATGGCTGGATAGTCTATCAAACCCATTTAAGCTCCAGTTACCATCAAAAGATTGGAATTTTTTATTCAACATTTCTAATATTTGTGTTAAATGTTAATATAAGCAGAATTAATTTTTATTTTAATGCACAATGTAATCTTTCACTGTTTTTATTGGTTAAGATAATCTGCAGTAACAAATGATGCCCATCGGCTAAATGGATGGACTATTACAATTTAATATTTTAATCTTTGAAATAGTACAGAATTCATACAGGCCTACTTGTTGAACATTTTATGACATATCTTGAAAAAAATGGGTTAAAACATCATTTTGGCCACAACCTTTCACAGGTTAATGTAAATTGAGGGACATAAATTACATTAGAAAAAAAATCTCTAAAATAAGACCAGTTCAAGTAATGTATGAAAGGCATTTTAAAACACATTTTCAAAAATTGTGGATAACCAACTGTATGAGTTGTTGGCTGCTTTGGAAACTATACTTTAAAAACTTACTCTTGTGTTTTATTGTAGGCTTTTAGGCACTTATAAGCAAAACAAACATATAAATACCCAATCTTGTAAGTGATATTTCACGCTTATTTGCATATTTTTAAATACAACATGACATAGTGCCTTTTAATCAGCCTTCAATTAAAATCAGGTGGGCTGAAGCAAAGAAACACCTCAGACATGCAGGGCAGTGTGCCCTAATGATCATGGGAAACTGTTAATTATTATGCTGTAATATTGATTTGTAAGCACTTCTGTGTCCATAATAACACACAGAATGCCCTGGAGTAACCGCTTCTCACCTCATCATCAGGAGACCCTGGTGAGTCTGTGCATCTCTGGGGACTGCATGGATCTCTGTCCTTCCACAGATTTATGCACCAGTCTTTTCCAAAGATCCCCTCTATAGTGGGAGGGCAGGTCACTGGGAAATAGAAAAGAAACAAAGGCAAGTTGGGTAAATCAATGCGGATCACGTTTGCTCACAATGACCTGCTGTTTTAGTTTGCGATACTCAGATACCATCATGATGCTTCTCGTCTCTGCTGCAGGCAGTTTGCACACCTACGCTGCAATAACTTCTACTTTTCTTGGGCGTGTCTCTGACCACACTTGTTAGTTCACACTCCAGACTGTTCACTTTCTCTGTCAGGGCTGAATTGGCAAACAGAAGCCGGGACAGCTCCGACCGCAGCTCGGCTGAGTCCTGGTCCACCAGCTTGCAGACCTGGCTGAACGCAGACTTGGCCATCGTCTCCATGATGGAGGAGAGCTGGGAGTGAATGGAGACGCGGCTCGCCATGACAGACTGCAGAAGTAGAAAGGTTTTCTAGCAATATTTTTTTTAAAAAACAAACAAACAAAAAAAAAAACCTAATGTTCACGTTTCAACTGGAAAACGTGCAATATTAATAAAACAATTATTTGCGGCGCACGTAGCCAATGGAGCTAATAAGATTTACCGCTGCGCACAAAGCGGGACCCAAATAAAAGTTGCAACAGTGACGCATTTCCGGCGGATGTAACTGGTCAGCTGCTTTGGGTTAAAACGCTTCCTTGATACGAATGAAACCTCTGAGGGTAGGATTTTTTTCTTTCTGATATAGTTTAATCTAAATGCGAGCCGCTTTCTCGCCTACTTCAGCAGACGGGGATTCGGGAGTGCAGCCGCCAGCATGAACACGGAGAAAGACTTTTCGCCCCTGACGCCCAACATTGTGAGGGCTCTCAATGATAAGCTGTATGAGAAAAGGAAAGTCGCGGCTCTGGAAATAGAGAAGCTGGTGCGAGAATTCGTGGCCCAGAACAACTCAACTCAAATCAGACATGTGATCCAGATCCTGGCATCGGAGTTTGCTCTCTCTCAACACCCCCACAGTCGCAAGGGGGGTCTGATCGGACTGGCAGCTTGCTCCATCGCCCTGGGGAAGGACTCGGGTCTGTATCTGAAGGAGCTCATTGAGCCTGTACTCACGTGTTTCAATGACTCAGACAGCCGCTTGCGCTATTATGCCTGTGAGGCTCTGTATAACATAGTGAAGGTGGCCAGAGGGGCAGTGCTGCCTCACTTCAATCTGCTCTTTGATGGTCTCAGCAAGCTTTCAGCAGATCCAGACCCTAATGTGAAAAGTGGATCTGAACTCCTGGACAGGTTATTGAAAGACATAGTTACAGAGAGCAACACTTTTGACCTGGTGTCATTTGTCCCCCTGCTGAGGGAGAGGATCTACTCGAATAATCAGTATGCCAGGCAGTTCATAATTTCTTGGATCCATGTCCTGGAGTCAGTGCCAGACATCCACCTGTTAGACTATCTCCCCGAGATCCTAGACGGACTCTTTCAGATCCTGGGTGACAACAGCAAGGAGATCCGCAGGACGTGTGAGGTGGTGCTTGGGGAGTTTCTGAAGGAGATTAAGAAGACTCCCTCAAGTGTGAAATTTGCCGAGATGGCCAACATTCTTGTCATTCACTGTCAGGTTGCCGATGAAGCCAAACTCACGAATGATCTGATCCAGCTGACAGCTATGACCTGGATGAGGGAGTTCATCCAGCTCGCAGGCAGAGTGGTGCTCCCTTATTCTTCTGGGATTCTCACTGCAGTGCTTCCATGCCTTTCCTATGATGACAGGAAGAAAAATACCAAAGAAGTGGCCAGTGCCTGTAATAACAGTCTGATGAAACTGGTGACTCCGGAAGATGATGAAGACACAGAAGAAGAAAGAGGCAGGAGCATGGGATCGCCCTCTGCTGGAGAAGGCCAGCCCAAAATGGAAGGAGACGGTAATGACATGTTGAACGCATCCCAAGAATCCGTCGGTTTGAGCAATATCAGTTTCTTTACTCCAGCAAGTTCTGACCGACCTCACGTAACTCTGGACCTCGACGGGATTGTTCAGGTGTTGAACCGCCACCTCCATGACTCCTCCACTGGCATGATGACCCGCATAGCTGTCCTCAAATGGCTTTATCACCTGTACATTAAGACACCACGCAAAATGTTTCGCCACACGGACAACCTGTTCCCCATTCTGCTTAAAACGCTGTCTGATGAGTCTGATGAAGTCATCCTGAAGGATCTGGAGGTGTTGGCTGAGATAGCATCCTCTCCTGCCGGCCAAACGGACCAGGCCTCCTCTTGCGATATCGCTGACAACAAACTGGTGCTCAAGGTGCCAGACGGGCCCAAACCCGGACAGCAGCCCACCACAGCCTCCAAAGCCTTGGACTCCTCCCCGTCTACTCCCAGTATGAACTCTTACTTTTATAAGTTCATGATCAATTTGCTGAAGCGTTTCAGTCTGGACAGGAAGCTTCTGGAGAACAGAGGAGCTTTCATCATCAGGCAGCTTTGCTTATTGCTTCATGCGGAGAACATCTTCCACTCTATGGCTGACATCTTGCTGAAGGAGGAGGACCTTAAATTCGCCTCTACCATGATTCAGACCCTCAACACCATCCTGCTCACCTCTGCTGAGCTCTTCCAGCTCCGCAACCAGCTAAAAGACCTGCACACTCAGGAAAGCTGTGCTTTGTTCTGCTGCCTGTATCGGTCCTGGTGCCACAACCCTGTGGCCACTGTGTCCCTTTGTTTCCTCACACAGAACTACAAGCACGCGTATGATCTCATCCAGAAGTTTGGCAATCTTGAAGTGACTGTAGACTTCCTGATGGAGGTCGACAAGCTGGTGCAGCTCATAGAAAGCCCAATCTTTACCTACCTGCGTCTGCAGCTCCTAGATGTGGAGAACAACCCATACCTGATTAAGGCGTTGTATGGACTGCTGATGCTGCTGCCTCAGAGCCAGGCTTTCCAGCTGCTCTCGCACCGCCTGAGGTGTGTGCCCAATCCAGAGCTTATGAGAACTGTGGACGAATCCAAGTACATGGACTCTAAAAAACAAGCAGCCTGCAAGCGCTCCTCTCACACTCAGGTGGATTACATGGAGCTGCTGCAGCATTTTGACCGAGTGCAAAGCAAACACCTGGAGGTCCGACACCAGCGCTCTGCACGTGCATCCGATCACCATGACAGGAAGCTAATGTGACGTGTAATTTATGATTATTGAAGACAGAGTACATGTAATACAGATATAATATACTGAAAGAAATAATAATTATTAAAGCCAAAACGTATATAAAATTATTTGTTGAAGAAGCACTGGATATGCACCGTCAGATCAGCTGTGTTTTTTTGGCATTCCTTATCTTTATGTGTAACATTAGAAAAACTGGAAATGCATAAATCTCACCATGTAAAGTCCAAACTAAACCTCCATAACGACATATAACAAATAGCTTGTCATTAAATCTGCGTGTTAGTCGTGTTTGTATCCTATTGTGCAGAAGTACTACTAAGCATGTGTTCAAGTTGCCTTAATCATGTCCGCCAGAAACGGGAATATCACATGTTGATCATTGGCTCAGATCAGGTGAGGTTTAACTCGGTTCATGACTGGGAACTGGCATACTCTGTGTGTTGCTACACATTAGACGTTTTTACATTGCAGAACTTTTACTTTTATTGCTTGCTTATATATTGAACAACTTTTTTATATGTAATGATCTTCCATTGTTTTTTGTGATGTTTCACTGCAGTCATTCTGTTCGAAAATAAAGTGGACCATGTGATTTACATATTTTTTCCTGTGGTTATATTTTGCACTTCTCTGGTGATTACAATAACTCGGTAAACTTCTTTATGAGAAGTAAAACGAGGTTGCCACTTCCCTATAGTAAAATAATTCCTGTAATTCGTCTCCCGTTTTATCGCATTAATGTCAGAAAACAATTGCACATTAAACTAAAAATTTCAACCACATTTTAGAGGTAAAACTGCTTTTGGATATTTTTTATTGCATAGCATTATATTTTAGATAAAAATAGCTGTCATGCTCTAGAACTGACTTTGCAGCATAAAGAATTGCACCTGCCCTTTTTTTGGGCAACTATTTGGTTATTGCACATTAGTACATGCAGTTTACAGGTATGATAAAACATTCCGTCTTTCTGTCAATTATATGTTTTAATACATAAATAATCTGGTCTTTACGAGTTTGTAAAATTATTCAGATCTAACCTCATTTGTTGGAAAAAAAAAGCTACACAAAATATAGAAAACTTGACTTTGTTCTTACAATGATTACTCACAATTAAATGTAACAGACCTTAAATACACAAGACCAAATATGCTGCAGAATCCCTGATGGTTATTTCAAATCCAACAGAAAATAAAATGTTTAAAATATTATCCACATTCATTCCACAAATTGTGACTCTGAACTTTGAGTTTTACTTAAAATACTAAAAATAAACATGGAAAAGAACATGCTGACTGTTTATAGATGGAAAAAGTGAAACTTTTCAGTTTGTATTCAAGGAGGAAGTAAATGGTCTGAACTTGTATAACGCTTTTCCAATAATTTTAACCACTCAAAATGCTTTACACTAGAGTCACACTCACCCATTCACGCGCACAAACGCTCACACATTTAAACACCGATTCACAGATTGGTAGGCAATTTGGGGTTAAGTGCCTTGCCCAGGGGCACATCGACATGTGGCAGGAGGAAGCTGGAATCAAATCTAAAACCTTCCTATCACAAGACGACTACTCTACCCACAGAGCCACTGATCCCTGGCTTAGTGACTTGGTGACCTCTCGCTTTCATTATGAACCGAGTTAACCCATAAAATACACTGTGTAGTCATAAAAATAGTTTTTAGCTAGTTTAAAACTACAAAATTGTTCATTTGAAGTTTAATTTTCTATCAAAACAAACAAATGTAGATGTCACTTTGTCATTTTTCCAACTTGTTCTGAGCCGATGGTAGATTTGCCGCTAAAATATTTCCTTACATGCCAATGGTAATTTATAGTGAAACCAGAGTGGTTGACTCACTCTCCCCCTCTTCTCTGGAGCAAGACTAAATTGAACACTGAAGTACAAGCTAAAAAGAAAATAGATCTTCCTGCTTTATTAGAGATCCATGACTGCTGCACCGACCTTCACAGATGGAGGCTGACGAGGCTTGTCGGGTTGTGGATGAGTCTTGCTGCGCGGTGTGTGGAGAAACCTTCCTGGCTCCTGTGGTTCTGAGCTGCATTGGCTGTGGTAGTAGTTTTTGTAATTTTTGTTTGGAACAGTTCTGGACACAGCTTTGTGTAAAAGACTGCCCCCTCTGCTTTAAAGATTACCTTGGACTTCCATATAAATCGTGCAAGACACACGGTGAGAGGATGCTTCTGTTCTGTGCTGCTGATTTGGAGCCAGTCTGTTGTGTTTGCAGCAGATCTGGCCAGCATATGAACCATAGAGTGTTTCCCATAAGGGAGGCCTTCAGGAACCATGAGGTAGGTGAATCTTTTTTTCTTTAAAGCGTTACTTTTAGATTTACACATAACTAAATATTCTCAGTCAGGTATCTCAGGCTGAATTGTTTGGCTGAAAACATCTTAATAGTGTTTTCCTAATGCAAGAGTGTGTTCCCTGGGCTTTCGCACCATCGGCTCAACCTATTTTTGTGCAGCATTCCAGTAAGCTAATTTGGCCAACCAAATACTGGGTTACAAGGCACAGAAGGTCAGGCTGCTGTTAAATGCTTTTGAGATTAACAAATTAAACTTTAGGATGACTATGTTGCTGTGTGTCCTTTGCCTTTTAATTAATTAAGGTTGTCACATATTAAACTTGTGGTAGTTTAAATCAATACCCCATCCACAACTCAGTAGAATATCCCAAATTCAAAAGGTCAGGAATAAAATCTTCCAGATACAGCTTCTCTTTGCTATTTATATCCTCCTCCATACTCTAGATTTGATTGTTTTGCTTCTTTCATTACAACCACTTAACCGCTTTCTAAATAACAAAAGGGTCAACATAGCATTAAAGCAATTCAAGAACTATAGTGAGGGCAAATATTCCAGGACTATATATATTTTTTTATTTCTCTGGTTATCAGTTGATTCAATACTTTAAATGTAAAGAGAAGGGTTTTTACTTTAGCGAGGTGTTTATTTGAGAAAGGGCAGTGCTCCGTGTAGCATTACACTGGACATGTATTTGAGATCTGAAGTATTAACAGTTATTTCTGAGGTTAAGATGAGGCAGCTTGATGTGGGAGGGGCATTAGAGCCTGCTTTACAATCAGAGCGCTGTGGGAAAGAATGGCCACCAGACATGCTCGTTCTGAGGATGACCTTTCCTGTCCAATTTGTGGACATATTCTGTGTAAGCCAGTGGTCCTCACCTGCAGACACAGATTTTGCAAGGCCTGTTTGCAAGGCAACTGGGACACACAAGACCGCAAGGACTCGCACTGCTGCCCCCTGTGCTGGCGTCGCTCTTCAATGGATCAAACTGTGGTAAACACTGTGCTAGAGAGGGCCTGTGAGTCCTTCAAAGACGACAGGAGCAGGAGTGACCCAAAAACTTGTAAAGAGCACGGGGAAAACCTCACACTCTTCTGCTTGGAGGATCTGGAACCAATCTGTGGCCTTTGTGGCAAAGCAGCTGCACACAAGGGGCACAGACTCTATCCCATTGCAGAAGGCGCCCATGACTGTAAGGTAGGCATATTAATGTCACAAGGCTGGTCAAAGCATTGCTTCACAAGAGCAGACAGCAGCACATCCTTCACATAACGTGTTGAGTCTAAGTATAACCTATTAACCAGTTACTTTTGATGGCCCTTATTGCAGCTTAGATAAATGGCAAAATCCTTGTTGCTTAGTATTTGAATATTAAATGCAGCCAAGACATATTGTAGGAAAATGCACATGGTTTTTAGCCACCATGAATAAATTAATAAACTTTAAATATTTTACAGTTTTAATTTTATTCAGTGAAGACTAAATTGCTGGGAAAATGTGTTGCACATTGTTGGTTTTCCAACTTTTGTTTTGTATTCCTGATATTCCTATAACAGAGTATATTCCTATTCTAATAATAGAATTATATATTTGGTATCCTGTTGCTATTCAGGTCCAGGAGGGTTTGAAACTCGACTCCCACAAGGTTTTAGTGACGCTACATTCATTCATATCCTGTCCTTGCCTTTTTCCCTGAAGGCAACTAAACGTCCAACACACTAAATACATTTTTTTTTAAAATACTGTTAAATATCTTTAGTCTGTGCGTGACCTCAGCTTTGCTGACGTGACCCGTTCAATGGATCTTCCATAGTTCTTTGTCTTTGATGCTACTGTATTGTTAAGCTTTCCATTTAGATGGAATGGTGCTATGGAAAGGTATGTGGCAGCTGAAAGCCACACACAGTGCTGACAGCTTGGCCACCTGCCAGACTGACCTTGTAAAAGAGTTGATGCCCTGTCACTGACATTTCAGGAGGAGCTGAAGAGCGCTCTTCTGCCCTTGAAAGAGAAGCTACAGCTGTACAAGAATGCGACCGTAGCATGTGAGGAAATGGCTGAACACGTGAAGGTATGGTCAGTTTTCAGGGATGCTTCCAGAGGATGTTCGAAATAACCAACTGAACACGTCCCCTTGCAGAACCAAGCTAAACACACTGAAGCACAGATCAAAGAGGAATTCGAGGCTCTTCACAAGTTTCTTAAGGAGCAGGAGGCCGCTAGACTTTCGGAGTTAAAGGCCGAGGAGGATCAGAAGAATCTCATGATCAATGAAAAGATTGAGGAGATGAGCAATGAAGTAACATCGCTCTCTAACATTATCAGAACAGCGGAACAGGAAATGAATAGTCAAGATATCCCATTTCTGAAGGTCAGACATTTATATCAAGCCCATTCCAAGCAGAACTGAATGTGCATTCTTGTGCATATCAACCAGAAACTTATTTTTATATTGCACTTTTTTCCTCAGAATTACAAGGAGACAATCAAAAGGTATGTTTTTAAAAGTATGCATCGTTAAACTTGTTTTACAGAAAGAACTCTCAAACGCTTACTTTTGCAATCTCTTTTCAGAACCTGGAAAAAGTCTCCTGATCCACACATGTTGTCTGGAGCCCTTATTGATGTGGCCAAGCACTTGGGCTCTCTAAAATATAAAGTGTGGGAGAAGATGAAAAAAATTGTCAAATATAGTAAGTATAATGCAGAATATTGCAGCAAATTCAACAGGCTTTACTCATTACATCAGTAACTCTACTTTTTCATTCAAGCTCCAGTGATTCTGGATCCCAATACCGCAGCAAGCTGTTTCATCCTCTCCGAGGATCTCACAGTTGTGCAGAACTCTACCCAGATTTTCAAGCTTCCGGACAACCCGGAGCGCTTCGATATCAGCGCAGAGCTGCTCGCTGCCGAAGGCTACTTCACTGGACGCCACAGCTGGGACGTGGAGGTGAACAACAACACCTACTGGGTTTTAGGAATAGCCAGCGAGTCGATCAACAGGAAGGGCAAACACGTGCTGACACCTGCAGAGGGATTCTGGACTATAAGATATCGGAACGGAGAGCACAAAGCCTGCACCGCGCCCTGGGAGCCACTCAACATGTCTAAGAAGCCAGACGTGATAAGAATGGTTTTGGACATGGATAGAGGAAAGGTGACATTTTACGACCCGAAGGAGAGAACGCCCCTCTACACTTTCACAAATATCATCACACCAAAAGCCTTTCCGTATTTTTGTACCGCTTGTAAAGAGCATCCACTGAAAATTCTACCGGAAAGGATAACTTTGTCAACGGAGCTGTAAAGATTCTCTTCTCTTTTTTTTGCAAATATGGTTACAAAATAAATTGGAAACAGATTAAATTGAACAAAGCAAACGCTTTGAAATAGTTTAATAGCGTTACAGCAAAACAAAGAATTTGGGGTTGCACTTCACAAACCTTAACACCTATGTAATATCACACAAAGTTGTTACATAAAAACAGTCAGAAATGTGCGACTTAGCTTCTCTGCTGACAATTTATTTTAAATCCTTTTCGTTAAAAGCATGAAATGTGAAACAGATCTAAAGTTTAATAAAAGGCACATTATATAATAAAAATCTGTCGTTCGGTGGTTCAACAGTGTTGTTCAGAGGTACACATCTGACAAGCAGATTTAGTAATTCATTGCATTTAAAAAAAAAAATCACGATAGATGTTGTGGTTATGTTAAGGTTAGTACGGTTTTGAACTTGTAGGCATTCATACTGCATGTAAAAATCAGGTTTTTCCAACCTCATTAAAACAAGCCAGAGTAACACAGGTAAACCTACACAGTAAAACCTAGCAGCATTTAGCATTTCCTAGATGGGTAAATACCCCATAACAAAGTTTCACTTAATACTACAAGTTATATTCTAACACTATTAATGTAACATGGATCGTCCTTCAAATTAGCTGAGAAAGAAATCTATTGTAGGTACGACGCTGCTCAAAGGCGATTCAAAATGCTCATTTTGTAATTAAAAAGGAACTATTAAAGAACAAATACCCCCACATTACGTCATAGTGTGTTACTTATACAGTGTTTAAACTCATGTGTAACAGTACTCGATGTAAATAGTCCTCTTAACTCCGTTTCCTGAAAGCTGAACAGCCAAAACTGTGTTGCACCAAAACTGAATGATCCAGACACTGCTGCATGCATTCCCCAATGCGTTTCCCTCTGGCACCTGATTAACCTGTCTGACCGAGGCACTTGGACAGCACTGCTATGGCCGCACACACACGTCATAGAGACATTCTTCCCTCCACTATGGAGTTGTAAAGCTCCTCGTCCACTGGAATGTAACGGGCAGCTCGACCGTTCAAAAAGTAGATCTGGTCAGTTGTCAGCCGTGGGTCAAATCCCTCCCTCTGGAGTCTGGTCTTTTGGATTTTAAATGTACCTGTACATGCATGTTTGGATATATAATATTTCATTAACAAGGAATTGCCAGCGATCATTATTATCATTTTATTTAGGGAGAGAAAATGCTGGGTTATTTTACCTGTGGTGTCTACCTGCGGGGAGATTCGCAGGAACACTGGGCGGGCATAAGTAGGAAGTGATCGCTGAATCTTCTGCAAAAAACTGTCACAGTCAAACTTCCCTGTAGCATCTGCGATGGCAGCCATGCCTGCTTTACCTTCCACACCTGACGCAAAATTACAGTGACAGCAATAAGACTAATGGGGAAAGACCAGGAAGTGGTTGCAATACAAAAAGATCCTGCAGTTCACCTGGCACTGCTACACCGTACACGGCCACGTCGGTTTGATCCAGAACATTGCTGAGTATGCCCTCCACCTCAGTGGTGGAGACATTTTCCCCTCGCCAGCGGAAGGTGTCCCCACTCCGGTCACGGAAATACATGTAGCCCAGTTCATCCATCACCAGTACGTCTCCTGGAGTAAGCGAAAAGCTAATTAGCTGCAACTAAAAACACGACATAATGTTTGTGAATAGCCAACTGGTCACATCACACTGTGCGCTGACAAAAAAAAAAAACAGAAGTTTTGTGATAACCTGATAAATAGGCAGAATCATTTTTCCTGAAGACATTTTGAACAATCTTCTTCTTTGTAGCATCCTGGTTGGCGTAGCCATCAAAGCGCCGTAGTGGGTCCTTCTGGTTTATACGACCTACCAGAAGCCCTGGTTCCCCTGTAAAGCATGGAGGATTTTAATGGTGTACATTCAGTACAGAACAAAAGACTCAAACTGTATTGGACAAACTTGCGATAGCATTAAAGCAGTTTATTACCAGGGCTGCAAGGGACACAGAGACCACGGCTGTCCCGAATAAGCTCCATGGTTTCCTCATTGACCTTCACCAGCCGGATGGGGTACACGTAGGGCAGAATGCGACTGTTAAATCCGCAGGCTCCCACCTGGCACAACATACTCAGCTAAAGTATCCAACCCATATCCAATTCAAATTTTGTGCGGAAACAGACAACATAGTGAATGCCAACCTTGCCATCCATGTTGGCAATGCTGCAGTTGCACTCAGTTGCTCCATAAAACTCCCCGATCTGTCCCACCCCAAATCGCTCTGTGAAGGCTTCCCACACACTGGGGCGCAGTCCATTCCCCACTGCCAGGCGAACTCTGTGGCCCTTCTCGGATGGCCGGACCGGCTGCGACAGGAGGTACCGGCAGATTTCCCCAATATACTGTACCACCTGCGAAGCGAAGTCATCAAAGGTTCTCTTATTTAAGTTAATTACTCATTAAAATGTGGTACGTTTGAATGTTGCTCAAACTGGAGCTCTTACGGTGCAGTTGTACTTAATGCAATCTTCCCAGAAGCGACTGGCAGAGAATTTCCTTTTCACTACCACAGTGAGACCATGGATGAGACACTGACCAACGCCGATGATGTTACCTGACACAGACGGAACGTCTTTAAGTAACAAAACTCAACAATTGATGTGAATGTGGATTAATTAAATGCATAAGGTGAGAATCACTTACCTGCAGAGTGATACAGGGGCAGGCAGTCATAGATGACATCATCAGGACGCATGCGGAAGGCAAAGTACCCAAAGGCGGCTATTCTGTAGTAGCTGTTGTAGAAAAATAAATGTAGGCAAAATGGATTTTCAGATGTTCTCATTCACAGTACAGGAACAGTAAAAAAAAACAACCTCTTAACAGCAAGGGTTTGTGGCGAGTAGTAGGTTGTTAAAACATACCGACTGTGGACCACAATGGCAGCTTTGGGAAGTCCTGTGGTTCCAGAGGTGTAAATATAAAACAGGCGGTCTGGAGAAGATAATGCAACATTGGAGATATTATTTCAACCCAATTTATGACACTTATTTCTATTTTCAACATCAATATAATTGATTTAATGTCCGAGGGAAATTAAATCTCGGCATTTGACTGTAAAACAAACACAAAAGAAACAGGTTTTTCAAACATGGACTTAAGAGAACATTATTTCCTTGCATTTGTTTTTTCTTTTTCTTTTGGTCTCTCCGTGCTCATTTCTCCAATTTAATCCATAATAAAAACTAAAGAAAACAACAGAATACACTTGCATGCTGGTGTTCTAAGTCATTTAAATTTAACATCAAAGAAGAGAGTGAAAATTAGATATCCACTGTGCTTTTTGTTCATAACAGTTTAATCAAATTTAAATTCACCATTTGAATGCATAGTTCTCTACTGTTTATTAAAATACATTATTATTAGTTTGAAATGACTAACTATGGGATCTGACAGTGATGCTGGGGTCATGCTGTGTGAAATTATTGCTCTGCAAAATTTAAATCTGAACTAGATGTTCTCATTTTGCTGGGCTTGAAAACACTAAATATAGTGCCCCCTAATTGGCTACCTCAGAGAAGCTCATGTTCAGATTTTTGGATTAAATCATATGTGAAAAGTACAAACAGCGGCTCAGGTCTCAACTTTCAAAACTGCATACGCAAAATCTGAACTGAAACAATATTCCAATGTCATCCGGCAGAAGTAGGAGATCAACGCTAATTTTGCAACCAAAATAATTAATTTGTTTCATTGACATTGAATAAATGCTGCAAACTCATATCTAAAATAAGAAAAAACAAGTCAACAGAGTAGATTTGATCAGATGGAAATATAATTGGTCCGTTAGAAGACTCAAATTTTCACAGCTCAAACCAATAAGGCATGACCCAAAGGAGATCTACACATCTTATTTTACTCTCGCTCTGCATGCAGTGCAGAAAGTCCTTTCTATAAATGGCTAAAAGCTGCTTAGGACAACCTCTCACCTCTCAATGTATAGACTTGTCTACTATAGTGTTGCAAGGGTTTTCTGTTTGGAATCTTTCTTTTTATTTTGTTTGCAGAAAAAAAATTATATATGAACAGCACCAATTGCACAGAAGATTTAAAAAATCCTTTTATTTCATGAGTTTATTTAAAAGTGAACTCAGACAGTTTTGCCACTCAGAAGCTTCAGTCATACGGAAGGAGGTCACATGGGTGAAAGAAGAAAGCTGCAGATATTCGGTCGCTTATGTAATCAGACATAATACAAGTGCAGATGCAGACAGCACACAGCTTTAGCATCTCAGAGATTAATGTGTTCTGGTGTAAAATGAGGGCCTCAACCTGAGATCAAAAGCAAAAGATGCTGGCAAGAGATTTTGCACAATACCAATGTTTTCACATGTCCAATCAAATCCCTAGATCTCAGATGCAAACGCAGTGAGTACTGCAGGTAACCCTTCCAAGTTACACCACGTCTGCCTAGAGAAATGGGATAAAATTTCACCAATGCACTGGATGAAAGGCTACAAAAGAAAGTTTGACTCAAATGATGTAATTCAAAAATCTACTCTAATCTAGACAAAAATCTAATTGTGCAGAAATTTCTCTCCTGTTATTCTAGCATCTAGAAATGTTAGTAATTCTACCCGATTTAAAAACAGGAACATTTTCTCTGATTTAATATCAGACAGTGAGAAAATTGGTTCAGTTAGTCAAACTGTGAAATCTTCATGTTACCAACATGACTCCACTGGAGAAGAGCTAATTGATTAACCATAAAGAATGTTATGATTTTGTCACCAAGCTATGGATGGTTTACTGAGAAGATGTTTTACGTTAGAGCAATTGGTAATGTTTGCCATAAAAACAGAAATAACTTGGGTTGATCCCTACTAACCATTCATGCCTTTCGGGGGAACACAAGGTGAAGGTGGGTGTCTTGATGCAGTGGCCAAAATTGGGTCCAGAGGTTGAGCATTCAGAGCTGTCAGACGTTCTGCGCTGAGGTCCCCTGTACAAAAGCGCACCACGGACTGGCTGATGGAGGAATTGATCTCCAACATGGCTGATCATAAAGGAAAAGATACGAGAAGTCAACAGAGAATATCTCAACTGTATGAGAACATGCAGTAAATCTTATGCTATATGAATCATAGTTGATACACATTTCAGAGATCTCTGTAACAAAGTTCATTCACTCCTTAAAAAAAACCCCTGCTCTTTTAAATGATGTACTTGTCTTCTGTCCTCTAGTGGAGGATTCAAGAATTACAGATGCCCTGTGCAAGTTTTATTTAAGATTCCAAGATGGCTGCCCAACCGTTTTAGAAATAGTTTCCATATAACAACTATATGAGAGGTGTTTGTCATTTTAAAGTTCATCAGCTTGTTCGGTTTTAGATAGTGAATATTGTCCAACTGTTGACACAATGATAACATTCATTAATGTATAACTCTTTGAAAAGGGAACCAAAACCAGTGCTAACCAGGAGGAAACGTGCTGATGCAAGCTTCAGTGTAACAGCCCCTCTTTCCTCTGCAGGATATGAGAAAACAGGCCCACATTTAAGGCAACCCACAATTGTGCTTCTTAAAATGATAAATGATGACATTGGCCACAAACCAAGGCCCCAGGCCGTATGAGGCAAAGGGTGGGTGAACGACCGGAACCAGTTTTTTAACAAGTTTGGTCAGTCAACCACCAGTCCCTGAGCTGTCACCTCCACCCTCTGTGACAACTGTCTGTTTCTATTCTCAGGACTTCACACTTTTCAGCTTTTAGACATCACCCACCCTCCCACAGCCCCTCTCCACCACCTCCAACTTGTTTCCACACTTCAGGTGACAAACAAGCTGCAAAAGATCAAGGCTGCAGGTCTGGGTAGCACTGACTCCAGAGGTGCTGTGCAGATCAACTGTGTGGCATCATGGGATCTATGTTCAACCTAAGCCTGAGGAAAGTGTATGATAAAGGTGCCAAAGACCAAATGGTAGAGACATCTGCATCTATTGACTGGCAGCCCTGACATTGAATCTGATGAAGACCCTGGAGAGAATTAAGCATTATAAGATATAACCAAGTAAATCAAACAAACAAACACTGCCATGTTGTCAGGACTGTTCAGTTACTAGATTAATATATTTTGCAAACTAAAAAAAAAAAAAAAAAAATCATTCTTAGAAACACTTTTGGTGATTATATGTTTTTTTTCAGGCTTACATAAGTATGAATAATAATATAATAAACATATTACCATAAAAATCCATCATAAATTATACAAATAATGTGTGAAATCCAGGTAGGCCATGTTTTGTAAAACATGGTATGTTAAAAACTTAGAATAATAGACAAAACCTCTGCATAGGAAGCAAGCGAGGCACTGTAGGGTTAATTTTTAGTTCAAGTCAGAAACTGCCCCAAATCGGCTTCCAGTGGTTGTTTTTCTACAGCTCAATTAAAACAAAGATGGAAATTTTGCAGAGCAAACAAAAAGGCATGCAATCTAACTTAAGGATGCATAAATGGAATTCTCAAGGCAATGTGAACACGCACCGCAGGTTCAGACATGCTAGAACACAAGTAATCTTCATACTTCAGGTTTTACATTCTAACTGTATACAAAATAATCACCCTACAGGTTTTAAAAGCTAACTGTATAAAATAAAATATGCAACCACCCAGTGTATATGTGGCAACCATCAGTGAGCCTGTGTGTTCTTCTTTTGATGCAATCATTTGGAAAATACACATTTAAGTGATTACTCTGCATCCCCTCGTGTACAGCTTAATTTGCTGTGCATTTATTATAAACAACATACTCAGGACTCATTGTTGAGGGTTAAGAATTAACACTATGTTTGAATTACATGGAGGGGAGTATTTTTTTTCACATGCACAACAAAAACTACTAATTTCATACATGAGGTCCACAAAAAAATCTACCTTTAATCAAACCCTAAAATAGTTTTTAATCACAGCATTAAACTACAATCTTACTGGTAAAGAATTACATGGGTAAACTGGTTTTATTTCAAGGCAGAATGTTTTCTGATCCGTTTTATTACGTAATTTCAACCTGTAGCCAATATCACCCTTAGGCTGAACAATAATTACCACAATACAGCTTAAGTTAACAATCCAGTTTCTACAATAGAATCTTTTATAAAAGCTGAAAGAACCAATTAAAATAAACATGAATAACTAATGATCTTTACTTTCAAAAGTTACTATTTTAACACCATTCACATAAAGGACAATCCATTTTCTACAAGTGTAGAGAAAGGTGTCGTCTCTCTCAGAGTTGTAAGAATGAAATTGCATCGTTCTTGTAAAGTATGAAATGTCCTTGCTGGCAAAACCTTTGTTCTTGCAGAATTTGAACAAAATAACTAATTTCTCTGTTCGTGCAGAGTATGTATTGACCTTGAACATTGCAAAACACCAGGAAGCACAAGTAAACAAGTAAAAATACCAGAAACATACTGATATAACCTGTGCACAGTTGTTTAAGTGTATACATTTGAATACAAGAATAAAATGATGTCCATCAAGTTTAGGTTTAAAACTATTCCCTCTTTTATAGAAATGTCTCCGCACACACTGCCCAACAGGCAACAAGCACAGTTTGTCTTAATGAATTTTGAAATCAACCGTTATCATTGTTAATGTCACTTTTTATTCCAGAAATAAAAATATAATTGTTTTATTGACCTGCGAAAACTACAGATAATTTATCAAAATTTTGTTTTAACATATGGAAAACAACCAGGCAATAATATCAAAGAATTTTTCTTTTTTTTGGGAGTCCCAGCTTTTAACAGGTTTTTAACATAGGTTGAGAGAGAAACATCATATTCTTTAAAATGATTCTTTTAACATTTAAGCTTTGTTTTTGTAGCTATTTGAAAGAAAATTAACTATTCAGGCGTAGTACTCTTTTGAAAACTGTTGATATCACACCTACTTCAAGAAATGTGCTATTGGAGGTTTATGACATTCTTCAGAGTAATACAGATTATACAGATGGTGAGATTAATCATACTCACCATCTGCCAGCTCGGCTCCGAACACTATGGCCCGTGACTCTGACACCCCAATGCAGTGCAGAAGAGGATCACAGCGGAGGCTGAAGTTAATAAGAGCAGCTTCTACCCCAACTTTTGCCAAGCCGAGCCACAGCGCCACATGTAACGGCCTGCTTTCCAAGAAGAGGGCCACCACATCCCCAGAGACCCATCCTTGACCTCTTGCCCAATGAGCTACAGCATTAGAGATCTCATCCAGCTGGGTGAAGGTCCATGTTTCCCCTGTGGCTTCATAGATCAGTGCCGGTTTATTTGGGTGTTGTTTCACGGTCTGGGCGAAGATGCAAAGAATATTGCTTCCATTGCGCATGTAGCGCCACAAGGCCAGCTTCACTCTCAGCAGCACATAGAGGCCACTGATTCGAATGAGAGAAGAAGAAGAAGAAGAGGGAATATTTGAGTGCAAAAAAAAAAAAAATTAGATCCACTTCCAGAGACATCACACCTTAATTTGGACGCATTTAACTTACTTGAGGTCTCTCTTTGCAGTACGTGCTGCAATGTAGAAGTATTTCCAGCTTTTGGTGCCCAGATATACCCCTAGGCCTGCTGCCAGACTCCAGGACCAGGACACCCCAACCAGACGCAGCAGTCCCAAAGAACCCAGAGAGGCTGACACACTCGCTGCATTGTGCATTCTTGTCACGGAGAGAAAGAAAAAAAAAAAGATGGGATTTACACAATACGTGGCTTAAACTGAAGCCTACATGGGTTCCTCTTAAAGGGCTGAAGTACTGCAGCGCAGGCTGGTACAGACAAATACACCCAGAAAACTTTGTTTTACTTATTATTAGACAAAAAAAATAGCTAACTAAATGTAAGGGCATGTTTTGGATTAACACTATAGTTACAACAACAGAAGTATCCAAGTTGTACTTAAGTGGCAACAGATACCTGGAGCCACGCCAGATAACACAAGCACTCATCGGAAACAACTTCAAATTGGTACACAACTTACCTATGAGTCAAATATTCTGCCGCAACGTCACCTTTCACCCAGTAGCTCGGCTCACTTTGTTGCTCTGACGGAAGCTTTCAGACTTTGTGCTCTCGCCGTTGAGAGCGCTGAAAACAGTTCACAGCGCTGTGTTTTGGTGGAAATCAGGAGTTTTGAAGTGTTTGTAGCGGTTTATCGTTGTTAGCGCGGCAGCTGTCAAGTACTGAGGAGTTTGCTAAGTTCAAGCTACAGCTCAAAATACGGGTAAGAGATTATAGCGGGCTGGCATCTGCTAATAAGCTATAAATAATAATAAACCCTGAGATAATAAAGACCCAAGAGAAAAGTATAAGATGTGGAGTGAATCAGGCTATTTTCTGTACTCCATATTGGAGAGAGCTGCTGCCATTTAAGCTCCGCCCACTAGGGGGGTGTGAGTTTTGTGGAGCAGCTCACCAATTGGCTAAATCCGGAGCCTGTCAAACAATTCTCTGTTCTGATTGGACAAAATCTGCTCCGACCACCAGATTTGCAGGAGGCTGCTGCTGAATGTAGGACAAATCATGAGGACACCGGTCCAGACTACTAACTAAAATGTTGTGAAATGTCGCTTGGATTGTCTCCCATCACTTATTCACTCCACGCTGCGCAGGCCCTTGGTATGCAAACTATGAACTGTTAAGCTATGCTGAAAAATAACAATAACATTTATATATTAACTTACAAAAAAAAAAAAAAAAAAAAATTGAATGCAGGCAGAAAGCCAAACCAAATAAATAAAAACNAGAGCTGTACATGTGTTGCATATATGTGTTTTTAAAGAAAGTTACTTTTTATTACATACCAACACACTCTCCATTATCCAAACTAAACCCTTCTTTGCAGGATCCTTGTGTTTGGAAAGGAAAAAGGATCAAAGCTGAAAAACAAACACAAAGTGTCACTCATTACTGCAGCCTATTACATTTTGACTATTACATCTATTACTATTGATTACTACAGTCATTGAAGGATACAGGGTATTTTTAAGAAAGTTTCAAGATTCAATAAGTCAAAACATTAGAGGTAGAGATATGATGAATTTTGAGAAGGACACCCTGAAAAAACTAATCATTGTGGCTTGATTTTCTCAATATGTATTACCTTCTTGTATGAGATATCTCAGGATAATTTTCACCTCTGGAGGATTGCATTTAGAGTCCTGTACTTTACCTTGTGAATAATAATGCCGTATACAACCTTCTGACTGCACTGTCAGTTCTTTGTAGTTTCCTGAATGACTATTTGGGTGTGATACAGAGTATTTAAAACAGGAAGGGAGAATGTTTATGCTGGTCAGTCCACGGGCTTTGCCAGTGTAAATCCTTAAAATTAAATGTTAATATTTTTTAAATCAGTTTATTATTTATGATGATGTCTGGTTGCGTTAAAAGTTTTTTTTTTAACTGTTCAGAACAAATTTTCTGAAGCAGTTTTCTCTTGATAGTGTTTGCAATGTAAGTGGATAGTTAATTAAAATAACAGCCTGTTTAATAATAAAATAATTACAGTTTGTAATTAGAGCACTTTACTATACACAATTTGGCTTTCAGATTAACACAGAGCAAATAACAGGACAGCCTCAATATGTAGACATAACATTGTTGGGACTTTTACAGAGGAGATTAAATCTTAGATCACTGTTCTTTAATCCTGTTTCTATTAAAAACATTCAGAGGTTTTTGAAAATCAGAATGTGTCAGTGTTGCTTCTTGTTGCTAGTGGCATAAAAACAGAGTTCTTCCACTGAGGTTAGCTGACAGGTGGCTGTGGTTACGCCGGAAAAAAATAATGTGGTTACTGGCAGATGAGGTTATGGTGTTTAATTCAGTTTAAGTTAAAAGAACAGTTTAAATATCGTTCTCAAAATGTGTTTTTGAGCTATTTTCCAGAATAAAGCTGTTATGTAATTGTGCTACAACTAAAGTATATATATATATATATATATATATATATATATATATATATATATGTGTGTGTGTGTGTGTGTGTGTGTGTAACATAAGTATAATCGAGCTGATTTGAAGATAACTTGAAATTAGATCTTTATTACTAATAAATTCATGTTTAATTAAGTAAGTAATCACAAAAGTTACAGCGCTTGTTTATCTGTAGTGTTTCTTGTGGCAAACGATAGAATATAATTTCTTTTACATCCTTGAAACAGATGATAATCCATTCATGTCCAAATTAATGACATATGTGACTCACCCAGTATCAAAACAGTCCACGTGGCTCTCATGGTGAAGGGGAAAGCAATGTCCAGACGAATGTTAAAGAAGCCACAGCAACTTGAGAATATTTCCACATTCAGATCGTCTGACGCTCTTTTGTTTGGTCCAACTTAAACAATTTTCAAGCCTTACAAACTGGAATTCGGAAAAAAAAAAAGATCTAACTGCATAAGTTAATGTCTACGAAAAAAGCAAAGTGGCTACTTTCCACGTCACTCCCACTTCTGTAAGATTATCAATGCCTCTTTATATAAAACTGTATCTTTTCTTAGCTTCCCCGCTTGTTCTTGCCTCTCCTTCCTCTTCTACTCTCAGACTGATCTCTCTGTTGTGGTGAGCTGCCAGGGAACAGTAAAACTTTAAAAGAGTATCTCTCTCTTTCTGTCTCTCTCTTTCTCACTCTCTCTCACTCTCTCCCTCTCTCTCTCTTTGCATCATGCCACCGACTCTGAGGTTTGTACAACCGCCAACTTTTCAGGAACTGATGTACTTGTTAGGGTGTGGCGACAGAGACAGGATGTAGTTTTGACAGCTTACTCACATTTGAATGCATGGCAAAAAGACATCACCTAAAAGCGTGTTTTCACAGATAATGTCTTTCTCTTTTAGCCAGCTCTCATCGCTGGCTGCCGTGTTGGACTCTGATTGGGGGACGCACAGGGTTAAACAAAGATCGAGACTTTCACACAGTTCATTGTTTTGTGGAGTCTTGTTGTCTGACTCAGCCTCCCAAAGGCACACAGCCTCCTGACTATGATGATGACACATATATGGCTTCAGCCTAAGATTGCTTCTGATTCTGACAATGCTACTGCAAATAAGCTACATAAAAAAACAAAAAACAAAACGCAAAAGACGTACTAATCTTTTGGTCAACATGGTGGCAATTCTCCATTTCTTACAGAAAAAAGTATAACATGCCAATAGCTTATGTAATCACAAGATGTTGCATTTCAGCTGCATGTTATCACACCCAACTGTGGTTAATTATGTTTTCTTTCTTTTTTCTTTTTTCTTTTTTTTTTTTAAACCTGAGCAATCTTTGCAAACTGATCTTGTGGATTAGCTGCAGTGCAAATGTTGATATGATAAAGTTTGAAAAACGAAGATAGCTAGTGTGATATAAGTTGTGTTGCATAAAGGACCCATTCAGTCAAACCCAAAGAGTATTAAAAACAAACTGAAGAGAAACAAGAAACGCTCTGTGATAAATATACACTGCATGTGTTCACACAGCGAAACAGTGTGAGGAGCTTCAAGAGACAGTCAGACTCCATTAATACATTTGAACTTCAGCTTGTTTTGTTTGGTGTGCTGCTTTGAGAGCCATTTTAGATAAGGCTCAGTACTGATACTTCCCTGAAACACTATTCAGGTCTTTTTGTCGCTGCTTAAGAAAAACCACACAGACAGCATTGACATTATTTTAAATCATTTTAATCATATTTGTTAATATATACGAGCGGCAGTGACATAAGCGAAACAAAACAACATAAACAGTATGTCACTAATACATTAATACAGATTTTTGTAACAAAAACAAACGAAAGCCTATATAGCATATAACTCCTTAAAACACAAATTTTAATGGCTAATGTAGTCCGTTATCCAATAGTATTCAACAGTATCTAATTTCTTTCTGTTTTGCTCCCAACCAGTCAGGATTTCTTGTATTTCTATAGGTTTCAAGCCACTTTTCTCCAGGGTTTCTGAAAGTCTGTTAGAGTTTTTGTGGGGACACGGGTTTCTTCTTCACTCCTTTTCTGCTGAGTACCATTTTAGGTCTGTTTGACCAGTCAATGAAAACCTGAACCCAATGGATGAAACACTCATGAAATACAAAATGGAGAACTGGTCAAACAACCTATTCTAAAATTAGATCTTTAAGGCTGTTTGGTACTAACAGCTAATCATAACGGTACAACTTGTTCTCTTTTATGTACTGAATCATTAAACAAATACCAAATACGACACAATTTGTCGGCAGCATCACGACGAATGCCAGAGTTCGTTTATCTGAAAACATGATCAGCTACAGGGTGGTGCATGCATGTCAGTCTGTTGTCAAGACATGACTTTCAGATACTGTCAGATACTTTCAGATCTGATGTACATTGGTCTTTGAGCCTCAAAGTTCTGTTTTTTTTCCACCCACATCCCATTTCCTCTTTTTTTAAGAGAAGGCGTTAGAACATAAGGTCATGTTTGAGTTGAACGACCGGACGTAAACAAATAAGGCGTTGCCAGAGAAGAATGACTGAGACAATTGAAAATGACTATGAAGAAATGAGACTTATTTTCAAAATACCAAAATTTACTTGCTTGTTTACTCTATGATGAAGTACAAAACCAATGTTAATTGTCAGAACTATCAGTCTTCTGAACTTTAGTTACAGGTTACAGGTTATGGGTTCTTTTCCTGATGTTAGGCTCTCCTGTGTCCAGGTTTTGTCTGGATGCCTGGGAATAAAAAAAACAAAAACAGGAGTGAAAATTCAGTTAATAAAAAACCCTGTTAGTAAAAATACACTATTTTTCACTTAACAGCTCTTATTATTACTCAATGACTTAAAACCCTAAATATGTGAATGTTACTTTCCAGCGATTCTCAGATTCTGTTCCAAAATTACATGTGCACACTCTTTCTTGTTAGTTCACATAAAAACAGTGCTGTTCAAATGCACAATAAAACTACTGATTGACCTTGCTGTACTAATGAATTAAGAACAACTACAGTGAAGTTAAAAGTACTGCTTACATGTGCTTGACTCCTTTTCCAAGCTGAACATCGAGAAAAAAAGCTTCCATACTCGTCCCTCACCTGAAATCACAACCCAAATTAGTTGAAGAAATATCAGAGAATATTTGAGAGAGTGGCACATTACCAACCTGTTTTGAAAACAGACAATGGATAATAAAAAGCAAAACGCCCTGAAGGCTGAAAATGGTGAACAGATAATCCATGGACGCATCGTCTCTTTTCAGGTGGAAACTGCTGAATATCCACATGGTGCGGAATATGCACAGCTGATAGACCGCAGTAACAGCAAAAGCTCTGCAAACGGCAAATGATACATACATGAAGCAGTAAAAGAGGCAAAAGAATCAGCTTATTGAAAGTTGTGGGGTCAGTTGAAACTTACTTTATTTTGTGCAAGCTGTCCAGGTCTGGGTTTAAACTTGAAAACTTCTGTACCAACGTCCACACAGTGATAAGAAAAAGGAATGTGTTTATCTGGAAGACAACAGAGTTTTAAACAGAAATGATCTTTTTTCCAGAATAATACTGAAGTAAATACTTTTTTAAAGTGAATTCTTACAATAATGAAGACAAAGGCGGGACCAATGAAACTCCAAATGTAATCCAGGTTCAACCAGCATCTAGAATATAATGAAGAGATTATTCAGCAGATTATACACCAACATATTCAGAGCTACAGAAAAATGATTTACTGTATATGGGTAAATGTCATTTGACATAATGCCAGAAACGTACACTTTTTTAGCACCGTATCCATTAGCATTGACCAATGCAGAAATGGTAACAATTATGGCTGGAACTCCGTAGCCCCCTGCCATCATGTAGCTGGTTTTAAAGTTGGTGTTGAAGACCAGAATCACCATCCTGAAGAGCTGGATTCCCTCCAGACACATCCAGCAGAATGAGGCCAGGTAGAAGAAGTGCAGCATCCCTGCAACTACTGCACAGCCAACCTAATGGGAGTAGACATGAAGCATGTGAAAAGGATTTAAAGATGAGTTCAAGACATAGGAAGGAGCTAATTGCTGAGGTATTAAGCCCTAACAAGATTAATACACAAACTATTTAGAGAGGCGAGCACTTTCAGTACCATTTTAGCTGTAGTATGACTTAATTCTTGCTTCTCTGATGTGTATTTAGATACTTTTTAATCAATACAAGCCGTTAGAGCATTAACCTTGTTCTGTGTCTGAGAGATGCCTGCGAGAAAGACAAGAGTTGCAATAAAGAGGCTGATGCAGAGGTGCAGGTGGATGGTTGTTCTTGGGCTTTTGATGGACCGGATCAGTGAGAAGGTCAGGATGCAGAGGAACAGGCAAATTAATGAAAGGGATAGGCCTATCCAGGAGATCAGCTGCAACTCAAAAGGGCTCTGCATGGAGACAGAATTTGAATATTTAAGGATTTAAAGACTCAAGTGGAAGAGTTACACATCGGAGAATAAGAAATCTCATAATTTGAATAACTGTAAAGGAAGTAGAACCTCTATGTCATAGAGGGCCACGAGTACAGCAAAGCTGCCCAGGTGATTACAGGAACACATAGTGTATTCTGGGTTGGAGTCCGCCACCCTGCAGCCGCGATCAGACCACGCACCTCCTTCGTTAGAGGAATCCCAGAACACACAGGTGTGGGAGGTTTGATTTGACTGTAAAACAGATAAAGCAGCATTCAGCTTCTATGCACCAGAAATCTGTAGCAATCTTCTGGAAAGCTGCAAAACAACTGATGCACTGAATTCCCTTAAATCTAGTCTATAAACCCAGCTGTTTAGAGTTGCTTCTGAACCATAACAACGGAAACACTGACCAACATTTTTATTTGTAATTATGGCACTTGACAAAATGTAATGTTTACTGGTTTTCTCAACTGTTGACTGTATCGTGTCTTCTATGACTTTGCATTTTTGTGTTTTTATGATGCAAAACACNTAAATTTTTAACCTATGTAGAAAAAAAAAAAAAAATTTTATATTTTAATTTAAAAAAAAAAAAAAAAAAAAAAAATCTGAATCAGGGTGAAAAGCAAAGCAAATAACTAAAGATGCCAGTCCCAAATGAAAGAGGTCAGGGGATGAGGGTCATTGAAGATTAATTGTATTTCTGCGGGTCTCTGACAAGGAGTTGTTGGATGTTGGTATGCCTTGATAGTAGTGAGCACAGCAAAGTCTCGTCAGCATTTTCCTCCGAAGTAAGATATAAACCCAGGGGTCTAAAATCTGATTCCAGGCAGCCATGCGCAAACCAATTAAAACAAGCTTATCTGGTTCAGTATACATCTTAAACTGCTTGATGAAAATGTGGATCTATAAGACAGAAGACACATATAAACAGAAAGTTTTAAGCAATCTTCTAATTGTCTCTAACATCTAACAATTGAATATCTCAGGAGTACAAGGAAGAGATGTACACACCAGAAAGGGGCCCCAGCAGACACAAGACACCACAGTGACTGCTGCGAGTTGCACCATCATCTCCACATCCAGTGTGCAAAACCAGGAGGTAGACGATGCTGTTGATGCACGACGACCACTGCTACCTGAAGGTGTTGTATTTCCTTTTCTTGACTTTATTCTTGCATGCAGCAGTGCCAGTCCACTGACAATGTTGCAGAACAGGGAAAAAAACAGAGCAAAGAGACCCAGAGAAGAGAAGACCAAAACTAGGGTTGTGTAATCAGTAGACCTTTCAATCGGAAAGAAACACCATGTTTTGGGAAACTGGAGAAAGTAGCTTCCCCTTGAAAAAAAAGGTGACAGAGCCAGCAGTAGTGCAAATGTTGACAAAAGTAGCACCACTGACTTTGCATGAGCAGCTGTAACCATAGAAGCATGAAAAAATGGTTGTGTGATTGCAACACAGCGTTCCACTGCCATTGCAAAACCAAAAAACAAAGAACACAAACCAAAAAACACCATACTTGCTCCAAAGACATCACAGAAATTTTCTCCAGACTCTAAGACCCCAGGGTTCAAATGCACATGCAGTGCAAATGCACCTAAAATCACATGTCCCAACAGGTCAGCCACAAGTAAAGCCACTGTTAGTAGCAGAAATGATTTCTTTGATTGGCGACGGAACCTGGAGCGGGACCGAGCCAGTATTCCCAGAGCGGTGAGGTTGGAGACGGCTCCAAATAGCATGGTGAATAAAGACATCCCTAACCCGTTAAACGGTTTAGGGATGAAAGTGCTGTTGGTAGCGGACACATTAAGAAGAGATCCATTCATTGGTACACTTGGTGTCGTCATCTTTAGTGTGATCTACAGAAAAAAACAAAAGTAATTGGAATTGTTATGAAAAAAAAACCTCATCTAGAAGTTAACAGTAATAAGTTTTTATTCCTCAAGGATTCCATCCATCCATCCATCCATCCATCCATCCATCCATCCATCCATCCATCCATCCATCCATCCATCCATCTATTTTCTTCCGCTTATCCGGGGTCGGGTCGCGGGGGGCAGCAGCTTCAGAAGGGAGGCCCAGACTTCCCTCTCCCCAGCCACTTCTTCCAGCTCCTCCGCGGGAACCCTAAGGCGTTCCCAGGCCAGCCGAGAGACATCGTCCCTCCAGCGTGTCCTAGGTCTTCCCCAGGGCCTCCTCCCGGTGGGACGTGTCCAGAACACCTCACTAGAGAGGTGTCCAGGAGGCATCCTGACCAGATGCCCGAGCCACCTCAACTGGCTCCTCTCGACATAGAGGAGCAGCGGCTCTACTTTGCGTCCCTCTCGGATGACTGAACTTCTCACCCTATCTCTAAGGGAGAGCACAGCCACCCTGCGGAGGAAACCCATTTCGGCCGCTTGTATCCGTGATCTCGTTCTTTCGGTCATGACCCAAAGTTCATGACCATAGATGAGGGTAGGAACGTACATCAACCGGTAAATTGAGAGCTTTGCTTTCTGGCTCAGCTCTCTCTTCACCACGACGGACCGGTACAGCTCTCACTTCATGGCAGACACTGCACCAATCCGCCTGTCCATCTCCTGCTCTCTTCTTCCCTCATTCGTGAACAAGATCCCCAGATACTTAAACTCCTCCACTTGGGGCAGGATACCCACCCTGACCTGGAGAAGGCACTCTACCCTTTTCCGCTCACTGATATAAAAAGATTCTTTAGAAATTGTTTATATAAACAGTGGATATTAAATACTTCTTTCCAAAATCAATGTTATAATTTTGAATGCAGTACTAAATAATCCATAAAACATTATAGATACAGTTTTGAAACAAAAACACAGAATACGCTGTTATAGCATATGGAAATCTTTTAAAAATCTGAAATATAATGTTTGCATATCAACATAACCAAGAATTTTGAATTTGTGCCCAGTTTCTGGTGTCATGTGTTCATAGCGTTGGGGCAGCTTTCCCAGCATTACATCTAGAGACATGTAGAAACCTGTTATTTCCTTGTACTTTTGCTTCATAACAATCTTAACTTCTATCTATGAAAACAGGAATGTTATTTATAAATATGTTATTTACAAGTAAGAAAAGGAATAAAATATGGACAAAACTTACCTGGAGATAGCAATGGATGAACGCTGGGTTGTTTATGGTGGAAACAGATGAATATGTTTCTTATCAGGACCGTTGCCTTGTTTGCTAAGTGAGTTATCACTACTTCCCTCTCATTTTCTCTTGTCCCCTCCCTTTTCTCTCCAACTGTTTCTCTTTTGCCTGTTCCTACTTTCTCTCTCCCTCTCTGTAGAGAGCTGTTTAATCATAACGTTCTGGATCTGCATTTTCCATCCTCCTTCCCTGCTAAAAGCATTCCTTCCATCTATTGATCTCTTCTGATGATCTTATGGAGCAGAGTGGATCTCAGCTTGCTCTCAGTTATTTTCCGATTGATTAACTGCTCCCTAAATGGTTCAACACTCGTAGTAAGAAGCAGATATTGCTTACATTCTTTTGCTCTGTTACAAAAAGATCTTTTTTTTCATTCCTGAAAGAATGTAGTATACATGTCTCATAAACAAATGTGACGTTATTGATCAAACTTCATAAAATACAATGACACAATGCGGTCTTAGCAGTGTCTTTGTGAAATAATAAGATCAATAGAAACCAGATTCAGCCCTGACCTTTAATACAAACCAGATTTCTAAATGTAGTGATTCTGTATGATTTAACTGCTCGTCTCTGTCTCCATGGGTTTTGGGTTTGGGTTTTTCTAGGAACCATCATGCCCCTGATCTCACATAAACAGGAAGGAATAGGAGAAAGTCTCCCATTTCCTGTGTACTTTTCAACCCACATCAAGAAATGCTTTCAAAATCATCAGCAATGTTATATGTATGATGACATTTATTTTTGCAAATCTAAAAATAGACATTTAAAATACATATTTGCAGGATTCACACAAAGAAAGACATGTAAACAGGAAATAAACAGCATCAGTGTAAAATATGCGATGTCCGCTAAAACCACGTGTTACAGCGGTGCTACCATTTCAGAGAACCATAACTGAACTTATTAGTTTCAAAAATAGCATATGAACTCACTGAATAAACAGCTATTTCCGATGCAATAAATGCAGCAGCCTTGGAGTCATACAGTAATGCCGGCTAAATTTCCCAGCGACTTATATACAGGCAAATCTCTAAATGATAAAACTGTTTTATGTTTTGGATTTCATTTGTATTTCCCAAACTCAAAGACTTAAAAGAAGAGCTTGCAACCTAAGTATATTTTGGATTGTCTTTGCTGATTGAAATAAGTACCTGAATGAAGCAACTTGCATGAGTAGATGTGCCTGATTAAGTTCTACAAACATATATGTACTTTTGATCAAAAGAACACACATTTTTTCATATAAAAATACTGTTTTTGTATGTACAGTTCCTAAATAAATTACATAATTTATCAAGTTACAAAAATACTGTTAAAAAAAGTATTGCCATGAATTTAAAGCATATTATGGACATGATGAGTTGTCAAAACAAGCCATGTTCAAAGCTTTAATATCCATATGTTAACTGGACTTTAATCCAAAGCTATTGATAGCAATAATAATAACTTTATTTATAAAGCCATTCAAAGTGCTGAGCAATCACAAGGAGTTAAAAAAACAATACAATACCAAAAAAAGCACCAAAAACAGTAAGTATAAAATGAAATCACATATGACAAAGTGAACAAGTGATTTTTTAACTTAGCTTTAAAAACCTACTGAGGAACATGTCTGCCTAATATCCTGAGGATATCTTGTCACTGTTAAGAAGCAGGAAATTATTTTGATAAGCAGTGCTTAATTACCGATAGATGGGTCTGAACTTTAGACGTTTCTAAATGAGAAAGGCACATTGTCAACATTACAGTGAATTGTTAAATCAGCGCAGAAGAGCATCAGGAGGCAGAAGACAAAGTGAAAATAGTAACAGACCAAGCACAGACCCCTGAGGGACCCCAAACTTCACTGCACATGTCTCAGAGAGCTCATTTTTGAAAACTGACATTCTGAAATCTCCCAGAGATATCGCTCAGTTAAATGTGAGACTCTCCCGTGTCCTGGGTACTTCTGGAAGCCTGAAGATGAAAATGCAAACAATGGGAGAATTAAAAACATATTTCATTTACGGAGGAAAGCTTTGCTTCACTTCACATCTTATTTTAAACCAGAATGAATAATTCTGGGCTCAACATAGCAACAAAAAATATTTATTCTGATTTAATTTCAAGCAGTGAGGATAAAGAGTAAAAAAAGTTGTTTTTTTCAATACACTGTATGTAAATGTTTGTATTAGTTTTAACTGTATGTTGAACACATTTTAAAGACATTGTTTAACTTTAGTCTCAGTGCATTAATGAGCAGTAACTGCATTCCTTGCATTGAATTAAATTTTAAATCTCTGCTTACATTGGCTTTGCTTGAGTAGTTGAACTCGGAGTATGTTCTCTTCCGAGGTGCACGTAGTTGGGAAAGAATGTTTTCATACTCCTCCCTCACCTGAAATCAGAAAACAGATCGAGCTTTGATCCCTGATAATGCAGAAAAACTGAAGCGTGATATTTTTGTTTGCTTTTAGCAAAGGGCGTGACTTACCGGTTTGGAAAATAGACAGTGCATGACAAAGAGCATGACACCTTGAAGGCTGCCAAAAATGGTGAACAGATAAGACATTGCTAATGTGTCTTTCTCAAACTGGAAACATCCAAAGATCCACATGATACCGAGTATGCAGAGCTGAGCCACTGCAGTAATGGTGAATGCCCTGCAGGAGGCAACAAATGCACATAGGTAAAAACGAGGAACTTCATTTTTTGTTTTTACGTCAAAGAGGATGTTGCACTCACTTTTTTTCAGTTTTATGAGTAAGGAAGTAAAACAGGTTCTTTTACAGAAGGAAATATGACTAACATGCGTCATAGCAGTTTTCAGCTTTTTGGTAGTTGTAGGTTGACATGTGGAACAGTGGTAACTTACTTGATTTTATGCAAGCTGTCCAGGTCTGGGTTTAAACTTGAAAACTTCTGTGCCAACTTCCACACAGTGACAAGGAAGAAGAAAACGTTTATCTGGACGATGAGAAAAATTTTAAGCGGAAATAGGGTGGGTTCCCATACAAATTTTAAAGCAAATAATGAATTCATTTTTGGGAAAAACTTACAGTAATGATGACACAGACAGGGCCATAGAAGCTCCAAATCAAATCCAAGTTTAGCCAGCAACTGAAATGTAAGTTGACATTTTATTGAACAGATTGAACGAGTTAACTTTACCAGAATTTGAAAATGGCTACAAAATGAGACAAAAAATAAAAAGTAGATTGATATTAGTTGACGAAATTTTGAAAACTCACTATTTCTTAGTCCCGTATCCATCTCTATTGACCAACGCAGTGACAGAAACAATTATGGCTGGAACTCCGTAGCCCCCTGCCATCATGTAGCTGGTTTTAAAGTTGGTGTTGAAGACCAGAATCACCATCCTGAAGAGCTGGATTCCCTCCAGACACATCCAGCAGAATGAGGCCAGGTAGAAGAAGTGCAGCATCCCTGCAACTACTGCACAGCCAACCTAATGGGAGTAGACATGAAGCATGTGAAAAGGATTTAAAGATGAGTTCAAGACGTTCAAGACATAGGAAGGAGCTAATTGCTGAGGTGAAATGTCCTAACAGCATTAATACACAAACTATTTAGAGAAGCACTTTCAGTACCATTTTAGCTGTAGTATGACTTAATGCTTGCTTCTCTGATGTGTTTTTAGATACTTTTTAATAAACTCAACAAGCCGTTAGAGCATTAACCTTGTTCTGCGTCTGAGAGATGCCTGCGAGAAAGACAAGAGTTGCAATAAAGAGGCTGATGCAGAGGTGCAGGTGGATGGTTGTTCTTGGGCTTTTGATGGACCGGATCAGTGAGAAGGTCAGGATGCAGAGGAACAGGCAAATTAATGAAAGGGATAGGCCTATCCAGGAGATCAGCTGCAACTCAAAAGGGCTCTGCATGGAGACAGAATGGGGAAAATTAAAGCGCTGTTTTCAAGTGTGAAGAACTTTAAGTTCTGAATAACGATGAAGTAAAGGAAGTATAACCTCTATGTCATAGAGGGCCATGAGCACAGCGAAGCTGCTCAGGTGGTTACAGGAACACATAGTGTATTTTGGGTTGGACTCCGCCACCCTGCAGCCGCGATCAGACCACGCACCTCCTTCGTTAGAGGAATCCCAGAACACACAGGTGTGGGAGGTTTGATTTGACTGTAAAACAGATAAATGCATTAGTTTCACATGTATCTTAAAATAGTGGATGTTACGGAAGAAAGAAATAAATAGGCTTTTCTCTTACCTGTTCAAGGTGATGTAAAGTTATATTGACCGGCTCGTTCAGGTGTTTTGTGTCTGTGTTGCTGACACTGACAGTCACCACTTTGGAGTTTATCTTAAAGTTCTGGCTCTCATTCTTTTTCATCCCACTATAGAAACCTTCTGTTGAATTTTCCAGGTTTGAATAGCTCAGCAATGAAACTGTTGTAAATCCTTCAATGGCAGGACAACACAGGTTCAGTGTTTGAAATGAATGTGTTTTAAATGTTTTATTTATAGACGTTGTTGTTACCCGGATAAGATGAGGGATCTCCTGCAGCTTCCTCCATCTTTATATCCACTTTAGCATGTGTAGACAACAGAGTCTTTAATCCTTGGGGTATAGCCGACCCAGTATGTACCAGCAGCTCCAGTTCTGGTGGAAAATTGGTAATTAATAATTTGTACAATAGATAAAACTATCAACTGCGTGAAATATGGACTTTAAAGAGGCAGATTGATGTAGTAAAAAGCAAAAGTGCATATATTTTTATTTGGTTTGGAAAGCAGTCATATTAATTACTGACTCACCTGTGTGATTGGTGGATCTTTTAGTTCCTGGTGTTTTAATAAAAGGTCCAATGAACTTTAGAGCTTGTTCCACCATGTCTAGAAATGTGGAGACTTTCTTGTTGTCATTGAGAGATCCAGCAGACAGGACCTTGTCGATCACAGAGAGCAGACTCTGGAGTCAAAAGAGGAGAGACATTGAAAAAAAATGCAGTAAAGGTCAAACAAAAAGCAAAATCAGAGGGAGAACTGACTTTTTTGGCAGCCTAGCTGTACAGATGGATGTACACCATCTGACATGTCGGGTATCCTCTAAAAAGCTGCTTCTAAAAACAATTCCTACCTGTAGTAAGACTTCTCCATTGAGCTCCTTTGAATCTTTGCTTCCCGAAAGCTTCAGACAACTTTCACTCAGTTCCTTCATATCATTTTTAACAATGTCAAATTTCTAAATGAAGGCAAAAAAAAAATTAAATAAATAAAAAAATCACATTCAAAAGGTAATTGATAGCAAAGGAATATTACATTTTGAAAAAAATAAACCTTCCATGCTGTGAATTTACCTCCATAAGATTGTTCACATCCATGAAAACACCACAGTGAAGCTCTAAGAAAATAAAAATAGTTTAATGTCTGAAAATCATTTTGAAAGTACATTATTTAGTGTAAACCCTAAACCGGTTTGTATTGGTCTTTCAAGAAAAACTAAAATCTATTCTTACCGGTACAACGAGCCGTTTTGTTGCCGTAGTTACTAAACCCTGCAGAGCATGCACAGTAATGGCCGCTGGTTTCATGGAGGCAGGATCCATTTCCACAAATTGTCTCATCAATCTTACATATGTCTGAAATGGAAACAAATCAAGGATGAAAAAAATAATTTGAATAATTGATGCAGCTGAAATATTTTAAGATATATTGAAAGGATTTTAAATGTGCAAATGTTGTCACATTATTTCATATTCATCACCTTCACACTGCTCCTCCTGCCCAGAAAAGCTAGATTTTCCAGATTTCAGTGCATAGCCAGCGTTGCAGACGCAGTAATAACTGCCTTGTGTGTTTATACATGATGCATTCAGACCACAAACCTTTTCGTCTTTACATTCATCTGTGTCTGTATGAGCAGAGGGAAGGAATGTGAAAATAATTGAGAAAAATAGTTGACTTGG